CCGCTCCCTGTCCTGCCCAACCCTCCCCGCGCTGCCCATGGGCAGGAAAACAAACTCCAAGCCCAAAATCTCAGGCAAAAAAAGGAAGCTGCAATGGGGCGGCTGGGGCTGAGGGCAGGATGCTGCCCTTGGCTCAGCCAGGAGAGCACGGCCTTGCACAGAAAGGAGAAGGGTAGGTTTAGACTGGATCTAAGGAAGAAATTCTTTACAATGAGGGTGGTGAAACCCTGGCAGGGGTTGCCCAGAGAGGGGTGGAGGCCCCATCCCTGGGAACATCCAAGGCCAGGCTGGACGGGGCTGTGAGCAACCTGGTCTGGTTAGCGGTGGCCCTGCTCCCTGCAGGGGGGGTGGGCTGGGTGACCTCTAGGGGTCCCTTCCAACCCAAAACATTCTATGATTCTATGAAGTTTTCTTTCCTTGGCTGCTGGGGATGCCTGGATTTAATGCAGTAGAAAAGCAGGGAGGAAGGCAGAGATGGAGCTGGCTGGACCTGCCACCGCTGAAGCACAGAGAGTGAACCAAGCTAAAAGCCAGCAGGAGACGGCCCCCGGTCTTGCTGCAGCATCTCTTGCTGTAAGAAACCTCGTGGAGTCTGATTTTACGCCAAACTTCTTTAACTGTTATCATTACAGCCATATAAAACACAGCATCAAATACTCCAGCCAGGCTCTTTGGATCACTGTAAAAAGGAATGATTAACTTCCCCCCCCGACCCCCCCAAAAAAATTCCCTACAAAAAAAAGTCCACAAAAACAAAAGAGAAAAAAAAAAGCACAGACATACATAATTTTTTTTAAGTAACAATTATAATACATTAGAAAGAGTCACGGAGGAAGCGGTCCACGCTGTAAACAAGACTAGCAATTAGAAAAGAAAAGCAGACGGTAGCCGGGCTCTCAAAGTGCACAGCCAAGGGGCCCTGACCTTGACCCCTGTCCCAGGCTGCCGTCCCCGTTCCCCCGTGCTGCCCACCGGTCCCCCAGCCACTCAAAGTGCTCAATTACAAACAACAACAACAAAAGAAAAACCCCCAAAATACCCCAACCCTGCAACGTTGATCTTTTTAAAACTACACAGAGGAGAGGAAGGCGAGAGCCATCCCAGGGCTGCGGGGGGGTGGGAGGTTGGGGGGTGGGCTGCTTTCCTGAGTTTGTCCATGGTAAGAGTGGCTTCTGCTCCAGGGCTGAGGCCACTTTAGAAGGCTGGGGCAGTGGTGCCAGTGGGGCTACTTATTTGTCCTCCTGAGCTGCCACCCGTGCCCCTCTCCTTCCATTCCTATCCTGAGCAAGAGACATGGCTGGGCCACCTCTGCTGCCACAGACCCGCCATGGCCGCACCTTCATCTGCAGCGAGGCAGAGGAGGAGAGAGCATCGGTCGTCAGCTGGTAGATCACGCCTTGACGTGCTGAAGTGAGAACATGACTTCAAGGAAAGCAAAGCACCTTACTGGTTCCCAGCCAGCTCAGGCTGTTTTGCCCCAGGAACTTGTCCCAAAGCTGCCAGCTGTCGGGGGCTGCAGGTTGGTGAAGAGCTTCTTAGGTGGCACAGGGAAGAGCTCGGAGACCTTCCCAGCAAGATTCACACTGGTGGGAACAGGGCTCCTGTGTCACTGAAACCAGCTGCTGGCTTCCCCGAGGCTTGGAGGTGACCAAAGACCTTGCTGCTTGTTCCTGTTAGGGCTTGGAGGGGAGGAACATCCCACACCCCCCCTCCCCAATTCTTGTTGAACACCATGCACCAAACACCAGGCAATGGGTACTGTGCATTTGACAGCTCTTCAGTAGAGCAAACCATGGTTTTAAATATGAATACTGCAAAAGATCCCAGCCCCACGCTGGGTGAGGAACCTGGGCACACGTGCAACATGATGTACAAAAGCGGTATGCCCGAAATGAGGGCAAGAAAGGTCTCAGCTCTTGCAGGAGCGAACCAAACACTCAGATGTGTTTTAGCAGGAGTCCTGTGTGTGCTTCAAGGAGAGGACAGACATCCCCCCCCCCAAGCTACAGAAACCAAGGCAAGAGGTGATCACCAGCCCTCAGATGCTGCTTCTTGCTTCCCAGCGAGCTCCAGTGGCCAGGGGGCTACTAGCAAAAGGCAATTGATCCCTGTCCTGAAATACTGCCCAGGTATTGTAACACACAAATAGGTTTAACTACTGTCGGTTACTGAAAAACGTACTCTAAATGAAAACCAATTAAAGCACCGTTGTCCTAGAAAGGACCCGTGATGTCTCAAAACACAAATACTGAACATTCATACAGCACTTCTCCTCAAAGAGCAACTCTGGACTCCTCACAACACCCTCTGCGAGGTAGCTGGTAGGGTTATCCCTGCTTTGCAGAGGGAGCGAGGGCGAGCAAGGCTGAAGCCTCAGCAGAAGATGGGGGGGGTCTCCAACAGAGCAGGGGTTGCAACAGATGCTGAGGGTGCTGTGGTCTGGCTGGCTACATCCAAACAATAATGGGGTGCTCCCTTCAATGCTCTCCCTTGCTGCAAATTTAAACCACCACAGGCACGCAAGAAAAAAACCAACCCTGCTAAACCCCACCAAGTGATTTAGGGAAGTTTTCTGCTGGGCTTCCAGGTAGGCTTCAGATCAGGTTATGGCACTGAAGCAGCCTGTGAGGGGAAAAAAAGAAGTTCTCAAAGTGTCCTCAGAACTTAAGGGAGCTTTTGCCCAGGGTCTTCACTGAAGGGATGGGAATCCTGCCTGCAGTCCCATCTAAGGTGGCATTTGCAGCCACCCCTTCTGGACATCAGAGTCAAACACAGCACATCTGGACTGTATTTCCTGCTGCTTCCATTGATCTTCCTTCCTGATGAAGTCCCTTTACCTGTAGGGGTGAAGTAGATCCTGGAACAGGAGTTTGGCCCAGCTTTTTCAGTGGGGTGAGATGTCCCTGGGTCCCTGCCAATGGTTTGGGCTGTGCAGCAGTAACACCTTGGGACAGATCATCAGGTCTTGGTGCATGAAGGGCAAGTGGGCATGTGGGCACCCATCACATTATTTCCTCAGCAGTGGGCTGTGGTGATGTTGATGCTCTACAGCATCGTCTCCCAAACCTCTGTGCCCAGGTTTCCTTCCTTGGTTGTTGATTTCTGGGTGGGCTAAGCCAGAAGGGCTGAGATCTGGGCAACGTGCTCCCCTTCCCCAACTCCTATGCCATTTCCACCCTGACATTTAACTTGCTCGAAGTAAAAGCGGGCTTCAGTGTGGGCACCGTGGTTAGACACCAGCACACCTCCAGCAGCTTGCCAGTGAAGGCGGGAGGTTTCCCAAGGCAGCAGCAGCCCCTTTTCCTGTCCAGCCAACGAAAAGGCAGCGAGCCCGCTCGCCGCGCTGGACCTGCGAGGGAGAGGCCAGCAGAAATGCCACTCAGCCCAAGAGACCAGGCTCAACAACCTTCACTGCTGCCCTTGTCACCTTGAGAACTTGGGAAAGACCCACCCTGCTGGCAGTCCTCCACCAGGGTCAACCAAGACCCCCCCCCCAGGGACTCACCAGCTGTTAAACCTCCCCTCTGGGACACCATCCACCGCCGCCGCAGGAGTCGGATACAGCTGGGCACTGCTCCGTGGAACTGCATAGAGTAGGCAGTGGGCTGCCCGCACCCTGCTGGGATGCCGTGGCCCTGCCCGAAAACGCTGCTGCCTACAACCACGGGTCTGGTAAAAGAAATAAAGATCTATTGCTACAAAGGCCTTTGAACACACTGCTGTTGGCTGCGCCACTCAGGTATTTTAAAGAAAGCATTTTGGACTCCTGCGCCTTGCGCCTACTTCCATCAGCCACGGGTACCCAGAGAGCAGAAGAAAACACGCAACACATTCGCCGGCCCTGCCTCTCCCCTGACAGGCCAAGGAGGCTCGGGGAGCTTGGAGGAATAAAAAATGAAAGCGCTTTCCAATTTGTCCATAGCAAAGATGCAAACCCAATTTGCCAGCCACCTCCTGGCGCTGGTGGCCACTACTCCATCTCCTCGCCGGGTGCTCGTACCAAAGCACAGCTCAACGGGCGATGGCTGCTGTGCTGTCACCCCGACACAGACCTGCTGAGAGGGGGGGTGTGTGTCCCAAAAACAGGGTGAGGGTGCTGCTCCAGCACCTGCTTCCTCTCCCTCACCTCCCCCATCCTCACTAAAATGTCACCGATTTGGGCAGCTTTGCCAGGGGAGGAGAGCCTGAAAGGAAACTGTTCTCCGAGCGGGATTTGGCAACCTGTGGTGGTAATTTTGGTTTGGGGCTGAGGGGCGGTCGTGGGGCTTTCAGTGCGTTTAAAGGTTTCTGGAGGCTTTTTTCGGAATCTACCTTCTCTGGGTCCAGCACAAGAGCTGGTGGCATGGAGCTGTCAGGCAGGGGACATCCAGTCTCTGGCAGAGGCAAGGCCACCTGCTTTCTGTTTGAGAAGTCCTGTTCGGTCGCGTGGGCCAGGTGGAGGGGAGTGGTGGTTTTGATAATGGCGTAGGGGCTGTTCCCCTCTGCTGCGGGGGCCGGTGCCCTCTGGAAGGGGCAGCCCTCGCTCAGCCCCGCTGCCTCCAACTCGCCGCTGGGTAAGATGGGCACGCTGCCGCCCGCCAGCCCCTGCGCAGGCAGCGTCCCCACCAAGCCCTCCGGCCACCGCGCGGAGCCGGTGCCACTCCCTGGCCCGTTCTGCGGCAGCCTGGCAAGCTCCCCCATGGATGCAGCTTTGGATGCCAAGCACTTCAAGTCCGTTTTGTCCGGCAGCACCGCTCTGCAGCGCTTCTCGGCTGTGTCCTCCCCGTGCTCACTCCTGGGGGAGCCGGTGTGCTGCGGCGTGCCGGGAAGCCGCTGCCAGCCGCCCGGCAGAGGATGAGGGGGTGCATCAAGTGCTTTCTCTTTGCAGAGGGAAGATTCTTGTTCTCCCGCCGGCAGGGCAGCAGGATTGGGCTGGCATACCGCATGGTCCATAGCGGGAAGGTCAGTGGTGCTCAAGGTGGGAGGACTCGACACATTTTGGAGAGAGGAGTCCAAGGAGCCGTGCTCAGCTGGGGCGGGGAGGGAGACTGAATCGTGGTCCACCATGGTGCAGCTGGGAACAAGAAGAGGCTGCTCCAGAGGCAGGGCTGTGGGCAGGAGGTGATGATGGACCTGTGTCTCGCTTGCCTTCAGAACAGACGGCGGCTGCCCGTCCCCGGCGGACTCCACCTGACCTTCCTCTCCCGGCGGCCCCCCGCCAGGAGGATGCAGGTGGATGTCTGTCCCTTCAGCTGCTTCACTGCCCTGGAGGGTGGGAGTCCTTGCCTCTGCTGCTGTCGTTCCTCCAGGCACCCCGGGACCTCTGGGGGGATGGGGCTCCCTGTCCAGGGCGTGCTCACTCACCCGGCCATTCTGGCCGTTGGCCGCCACGTTGCCCTTCACAGCTACTAGGTTGAGGGAGAGCTCCAGGCCCAGGGGTTTCCGTGGGAACTCCTCAGGCTTTGCTGCATTGGAAGCAGAGAAAACAAAATAAACCCCAGACTGTGCATCAGTTCATTTTTTGCACCCAGTGTGCCCCAACCGCAGGGAAGGCAGATGCTGCACCCAGCGGGTGCCAGCCCTTTTGGGCTGCCCTGGCTCCCAGCCAGGCCAGAAGGATGCTCTGGTCCCCAGGGGACACGGGTACCACCACCCGCCTTCCCCTCTACCCACCTGGTGGGGGGAGGTCAAATTTCATCTTGCGCAGCTCAGTCATCGACACCTGCAGTTGCTCGATGACAGCATCGTCCTCATACTGCAGGGAAGCAGCGATTTTCTCCTGCAGAAATTCCCGTAAATCCTCCAGCGTCATCTTCAGCAAGCGTTCTGGGAGACAGTGGAAAGGAGTAATGACAGCCAAGCTGCAGGGCAGCATGAGCATGGGTTGCATTGCTTTGGTTTTATCTGGGATTCTGCTGCTGTTCCCACTCCAGGGTGGGACAGCCTGAATGTCTTTCCCTCTCTCCCACCCTCCCACGGCTGCTCAGGTTTGTCAGTATTTACATCTCTGTGCCACCTCTGGGCAGCAGCTCAGCAACGGCAGGACAAGGGTGGGGCTGGGACCTATGCTGGCCAGGATGCACGGTTTTGGGCCATTTCTGGAAGTTCTCACCAATACCTCTAGGAGGAGGAAAAGCTCCATGAGTTAGACCCCGAATGTCAGGCTGAACAGCCACTGGCGGCAGCCCGCGCCCCCAAGCCGGGAAGCCCAC